ATGATTTCATCTTCTCCATTTCTAATGAATTTTTACTTTGTTTTTCGTGTTTATTCCTCAATTTTTCTATAATTTGAGCCTGAATCTTTTCCTGATTCACTCTCAGTTTCCCGATTTATGGTGAAATTTCATATTTTTTATGTTTATTTGAGCTTTTTACCAGTTTATTTGTTTATTGGTCGATCTCTACTAACATGATTTGAGCCTGATCTAGAAGTTTAAGGAAGGGTTTTGAAGATAATGTGGATAAATATAAGATTCAATATGAAAAGAAAAGATGGAGAGGCAACAAAACATTAAAGTCAAAATTAAGGAGATGTGAAGGGTAGCTGCCTTTTCTATGAGCAAATTCTCCTTTTAATTTAGATATCAATTGATTTTTATTTTAATTTTATTGTTATGTGTACATCAAGAGGTCACATGAAACTTGTAGAACAATTTATAGAGATATATGTGAAAGGCTATAACAGAACAACACATGAGCATCATCAGGATCAATAAATGATCATATGGCAATAAGCGTTAAAAACTCAGATGATCACACCAAACAACTTAGTACTAACACAACTCTTTACAATCACAAATAAGAAATAGGAAAACTGGAAAACAATGGACAGGATGAAAGAATTGAAAATGAAATAAGAAGAAATAATGAAAAATGGTAAAACAAAGAAGATGTTAATGGATTAGTATAAGTTCATGATGATATACAATCATAAATATTCAACAAATAGGAAGCTTACATCAAGTTTTACAAAAACACCATGTCCTCCTATCTACAACAAGGTTAGCATCCATTATTAGTTGTTCTTTTAAAAAAATTCATAGACTTGAGCTAATATTTTATATTTTCTTTTAATCTTTGCAGCTTAAGAGGTGGTTCAAGTAAAATGTGAACCAAACAACCTTCCTATAGTACACAATATGCATTTGAAGCTTAGGGACACTGTTATAGTGATAGTAGAACATTTCAAGGGCAAAATCTACAAAATAACCAAGATTGCTAAGCACACATTGTGGTAGTCAAAGAAAAATTAATTTGAAGATCAAACTTGTGAAGAGCAAGGAGGAGGGTCAATCAAGGCTGATAATCAAGGTTTAATTGCTTGTCCTCTGTATTTATGGAGAAGCTAAATGTAAGTAAAGTTAAATTATTAAACTAGAGGTGATAAAATTAGCGAGTTGGATTATTGTGAAAATAGGTTTCAGTAAAAAAAGTAATGTATATAATGTGGGTTGAAAATGGTATGGTTTGCTTGACAAAAACATTTTGTTAATTTTAATTTTAATTTTTACGTATAAATAATAGGCTATTCACAAAATGATGTTATATTGACCTTTATATGCTTATCATTGGTCCTACCATAAGAAGTAACAACTAGAAGTCACATATAGTGTGTCTCTTGTTGAGAACCTAAAATATTAGGGATGCCGTTCAAGTTTTTTCTAATTGGGCGTAGTACTTTCAATTCTTTTTCTAGCTCAGTAATTAGTTGTTTTAAAAAAATATATCAATTTATATCATTGGAAATTGTTTTCTATTTGAATAGCATTGTTGTAAGTATGTAGACTTTTTTTTAAGTACAATACCATTGTGTGAAGAAATAAAAGTAAAATGCTATACTAAACAAAGTCCTAAAGTAGGTTATTATTTTGTGCAGATGTTGTGATTCTTTACGAAGCCACAACACTTTTGTTATTAGCACAAAATACTTTAAAGAACGGTAAAAGAAGTACAAAAAGTACCCTTTGTGGGCATTGTACTTTTACTTTTTTGGTTACAAGCGCAATATACATTAAATAGCGGTAAAACAATTTCCCAAATTGCCCTTCATGGGTCGTGCTTAGCACAGGTCTCAAACTTTTCTAATATATATATATATATATATATATATATATATATATATATATATATATATATATATATATATATATCCTACCTAATAAATGAAAAATACTTTTGACACTTGTCCTCTTCTCCTTCATTTTGACAAATGTCATTTTCTAGGATTTTTAAGATTGTTATTTTCCACTTGTCATTTTTTAGGGATTTCAATTTTCTTAAAATAAATTTCCAAAAAATTCTAATGGGTTATATATATATATGTAAGGTTATCATTCTATTAATTTGATAATAATTTCTCATAAATGCTCCAAATGATTTGATTTTTTTCATAAATGCTCCAAAAGATTACATTTTGTTATGGAAAAACATTATTTTATAAAATATTTAATGTTTATATATTAATATTAAATGTTTATTTTTAATAATATCGTGTAATACACGGGTCTCACACCTATCTTTACTATTATATAAAGCATTTTAAACATTTCTTGAAATTTAAGAGGTACCATACCTACTACATCATGTACAATCAATTTATGCTTACCCTTCGATACACATTACATTTCCGTTTCAGAAATTAATCACATTAAACATTAATGCTTCATAAATTAAATCAAATGATAATCTTCCATTAATTAAATGACTTTCCTTCTTTATTTACCCCAATCACACACTGTTATCTCTGACCTTCCCCCATTAAAACCCACACTCAGTTTATCTAGCCATTTCATTTCAAAATTCGAATCCTAAAATCACATATTCTCTATTTACAAAGTTCCAAAGAATATGGAAACATAATAAAATGTTTCATGGATCAGGTACATTTTCTACAATATTCTTTCTCTAAATGTTGCTTTTTTTCCTTACCGTAGACCTAATTGGATTTCTTGTTAAAATAATGTGCGCTCAATGGAGATAATGGTAAGTTTGGGTCTCGATGGCGATGACGATATGATTCATCTTCTCCACCTCCTGGTCAGAATATTAAATGTCACCACGGTAATCCTCCATTCCATTTCTCTTTATAAATTTTCTTCTTTGAACCGCATTTTTAGGGTTTTAGATGCGGCCTCATCTGATAAGCATGTCAATATGTTGATTTTTTGTGGAGTCGAGTATCTAACACCGCCATCAGGAGTGCTAAACCCATCATGGTTGCATATGGTCATCTTGGTAAGCAACCATGAGTTTCTCTGTTACAAGTAATCCCTCCTTTGTTCCCGGGAACTAATAATGAGCTTATTTGTTGAATTTTATATTTAATCTATTCTTGCATGGCTATTTATAATTTATGGCTTTTTTACAATCCACTCATAATCATATATAATCATATTGATATTTCTCAACAGTTGCATTCTTCGTTTTGTCAAGGTCGGAGATGGATTTGGATTTTTATGTGGAATTTTGTCATGTGTCTAAGAAAGTATATGGTAAGAATCTTTTTTAACATAAAAAAAAGTAAAACATCTTTCCGTTTTACCCATTTGTTTGTATTGTTAGATTCTATTTGTTTTGCTTTTTAACAAACATCTAGGATTTTAATGCTCCTATCCAATTTAGAATGTAGATCTAGAAACCTTCTACCGTCATTTCTTCTCCCTGTTTTGGGCACTTATCTCAACTTCTTCAATTTTTTTGTGCAAAAATCAAGAATAGTTGGGATCTCAGGAAGGATGATGGCTAAAAATGAGCAAAATTTGATTCAAAAAAGGTGAAATCGGCCAAATTTAATCTTTCCCAATGCTGCTGTTTTTGTTGTTATGTGGTCTTTATTTTGACCTTTATTGACTTTTCTTCTTTGTAGAGCCCTTTTTCCAGGAGTCATATCTCCCTTGCAGAAAACAACTTCAAACATAAGAATTCTTAATTCCAAATCTTTTAAATTTGGGTTTCTCTATGAGCAAATTCTCCATTTATTTTCTTATTTTTATTCTCCTGGTTGTTTTAGTACACCTTTTTAAAAGGCAACTATTTTACCTTTCTTTTTTTTATTCTACATAGGGGTGTTGGATTTAAAAGCTAACTATTTTACCATTCCTCCTTAGAAACAACTACAACCTTAAAAAAAATGGAGGAAGATGCTCTAGACATCATCCATGTAATATTTATTCATTATATGCAGACAAAAGTTTAATCCATTTTATGTACCTGTACATCAATGTCAATATTTTAATGTGATATTTACATCAACTACATGTAAATGGTGCATTTTATGTATATAATAGACTAATATTGGTAATTTTCAAAGTGTGATTCAGTGAGTGTAGTAAACTTCATTTGGTGTATATTCTCATGGTACGGGCTAGAATATATCTATATCTGCCACCTCTATCTTTGTATTAAGGTATTTTAGTATGCACCTTTTGAATTTCAAGGATATTGAATGAGTTGACACATCTGGATGCAATTCACTTTGCTTAATTTCCATTTCAAATGGTTTGCATTCCACATAAAGCTGATTATGCTATTGATACCTTGTGGTGTATCTATTTATCATGTGTGCCATGTTAATAGGTTCTAGATTCGAAGGCGTATGTCCACATGTGTGGTTGCTATTCTTGCATAGATTGAGTATGTGTGTGTTCCTTGGACAATTTTATTGTTGATCATTGATTGAATGAGTGATTAATTGCAATTTGCAAGAAAGTGATACATAAATGGATTTATCAATATTTGAGGATTGTAAAAACGAAAGAATTATCAATATTCTAACTTGGTTATACTTAAAGGTTTTTATGGTTTGATCTGATAGTCACAAAGAAACTATTCACCGAAATAAATTAATCAGCGTCCAAAAACTATTTGTCGCCACCGCTTTACGCGGGACATAACTATAATATATATATATATATATATATATATATATATATATATATATATATATATATAATATATATATATATATATATATATATATGTGTCCGCCGAAATTTCTCGAAAGTTTACTAGAAAATCTCTTAAAATTCTTTTTCAGTACGTAGGTACTTTTCTACCAACTTTGTTTCGTCCTATTTTTATTGGAAAAAGCTAATTCGAAGGAACGTTCAAGGAGTACATGTGCGCTTGCCGGAAAAATGATTTTTCTGCTGTGATTTATAAAACTATAATCCCACATATGTAAACATATAATAATAATAATAATAATAATAATAATATAATAACCCAAATTACATTGAAAACCTACATTAAAATTTACCATCTCAACCATCACTCGATCGTGTATCTCATTTCAGGTAAACTTGACAGAAAACGAGAAATATTGCCAAATAAACCACAACCAATAATAATATTATAATCAATGCGCCACCACAGCTCCTTCTCCACCATGCACCACTGGTTCTGGTTCAAATTCTGCTTCTTGCTCCGGAGACTTGAACACCTTAGCAATCTTCTGAGTAGGCACCAATGGCAGATATGAAGAAACCTGGTATCCTTCCTCCGCTGTTTGCTGAACAGTCTCATTGTACTTTTCAGACAAGTAAGCAGCTGCTGGTATAACCACCTTAGCCACACTACGAAACAATGGCATTTTATTAAGAGAGTGCCAAGCTGAAGCTGCTTGTTGCTCTGCAACTGGCTCATATTTCACCAACAGCTCTTTTGCACTCGGCTCTAGCTTCGTGTATGCAGATTTCGCAAGCCCAGATGCTGTTTCAACAACTCCATGGTTCTTGATGTCCTTGGCGACATTTGTAGACATGGCTTTGGCAACAGACTCATCAACCTGTAACCATGTTCATAAATTTCAAATCTTTTGGTGATATATTAACAAGATTGATGTAATGATATTTGGAGGAAAAGAGAAGGAGAAGATGATTACCTTGCGATCAACAAACTTGAGTACTTCACCAGGGACATTATGGAATGTATCACATGCAGGGCTAATAACGGTTTTGAGAGTGCCTTCTATTGCCTCTACGCGTGGTTTGAGTGAACCGCTGTTTTCTTTAGCGTAATCATAGGCTTTTGATGCGTATGGAGCTGCATGCTTTGCTGCTTCTTGGACGAAAGTTAGGTACTTTAACTTCTCTTGTTCGGTTTGAGCCTTTCGTAAACAAAAAGAAGAAATCAATATTAAATCCATTTCTGAAAAGATCATATTAAGTGTTCTTGACTTTTTGGTATCAAGAAACATGTTTCCATCACTCAAGCACATAATTCAACAAATCAATGAAAGGTATTTTCCATCAAATAGTACACAATTAGTTTGCAAAATATCATGAACTACTTCAGTAGATTTCAGGCATCAATCATTAATATAAACCATATTATAAAAACACAGTGAATCAACAACATCACCAACAAGAATCTCTAATATGTAATCTTTTGTTTAGCTATGTAGTAGTTATGTGAGAATATGTAGCATCAATAATGGTGTAGAATATTAGAAGATAGAAAAGTGTATTTATTTTAGTCGATTTATAAGTTCATAAATTTAGCATCACGAAAACCACATATGCCTTTAATTACTTTTAATTATCCTAAATTTTGGAAGGATCAAAAGAATGCAAACAATTTCTCATATATATTTTTTTAAGTTACTAACACTTAATTTCATCTAATCACGTTCCTTCATTTAAGCAACGAATTCTATCTTTTTAACAAATGAATCGAAATGGAATCAAACCCCCAAATTAAACATACATGCTAAAATAATTCATTTAAAAATAAATACAAAATAGCATGAACTACAATTAAACATTAGAAAAGACGAACCTCTGGTTGATTATAAACTGTAACAGCGTTTTCGGCCATGATCAAGATGGAAGATTCAAAGACAGAGAAGAAATCGTGTATTAAAAAGTGATTGTTGCTTAAATGTTAAGGTTTTCGTATCCAACAATCGATGAATCTTTATTTATATACAATACACAGAGTCGGTTATAAACAGCAGTGCACATTTTCCACGGAAACCGAGAGTTTCATGCAGGATGCAATTGCGTCACCGTGTAAGCAAGTGTGGGTCCAGAAGTGTCGACTGTTATTTTAAATCTATGGGCATGTTGCACTTGGGCCCCAGAACTTATGTATTTTATCGAAAGAAGTCTCTGTATTTTTTAAAACGTCCGTTAAATTCCTTTAAAATTTCAAGTTCGATGATCAACTAATCCCTCGGCAAGTCTTGTTTTAAATTTTATATTTATGTTTAATTAAGTTTATAATATTTTATAAGGGTAGTAAGCCATTCCTTTATTTATAAATTGTTTTTAATTGTACAAGACCAACTAAGTTTTTAAATCGTTTAAAAAACATCAATCATGTTTTGTCTGTTCAAAAAAACTCAACCAACTTAACCTTTTGTCTAAAAAAAGCTAAAAAAGGTTTTCAAACAGTTCAGAAAACCCCAATTATGTTTTGTCTGTTCAAATGTTAAGTTCGTTGGGTTTTTTTTTTAACATACAAAACATGATTGAGGTTTTTGGAACGGTTTGGAAACTTCGTTAGTCTTACAAGTCATTTTCCTTATATGGTAATAAGTCATTCTCTTCTTTGACTTCCATAGAATTGAACAAAAGTGAAACTTCGTTGGCCTTTTTTAGACAGAATGTTAAGTTTTTTGGGTTTTCTTGAACAGATAACATAATTTAGGTTTTTGAACGGTTTGAAAACTTTGTTGGGCTCGTAAGTCATTTTCCATTGTTCTTCATAGACAAAATTATGCTATTGGTTTGTGTAGTTTTACAAACCATGCAAACAACTATTGAAATACATATCCGTTTAGTCCATATGCTTTCAAAAACTTGTATGTCTGATCTTTTTGGTCAATGTCTTCCATTTGAAGACATTATTCGTCCCACATGGTCTCCTTGGCCTATGTGACATTCCAAATCACCCTAGATAATCTATGGGGTTATAAACGAACCCAAAGTTCAACGAACCGTTCATGATTTGTTTGGCGGGAAGTTTGTTAACATGAACAAAAGTTCTCGTGCGGTTAGTTAAACAAACAAAAATGGAAAATGGATTCGTTCGTTCATTTATGTTCATAAACGTTTGTTTCTTCTAAGTTCATTAATGTTCGTCAATATAAGTTCCTTTATGTTTATATATGTTAACTTATGTTTGGTCACATTACTATATTATATGTTTATTTATGATCATACATGTTCAATTCTGTTTGTTTATCTTCGTTTATTTATGTTCGTTTAACATGTTTAGGAACATAAACGAACAAACGAACATAAACAAAGTAATTTTGTTAAATGAATGAACATGAACAATAAAACATTCGTTTGTTTATCCATTCATATTCGTTCATTTGTTTGACAAACTTTAAGGAACGAACACAAACAACATCTTATTTGTGTTCATTAAGTTCGTTTACAGCCGTAGACTCACCCAATTAATAAACAAATGTGCAAATATTGTTCGCCTGATCTCTATGATTTCCTAAAATTACCTTTCATGTCCTTTTTTGTCCTTGTTTGCGTTCGTTAAGTTCGTTTTTAGTGGTAGACTCATCTAACTAATAAACAAATGTCCAAATATTGTCTTGACCCTATGGTTTTCTAAAATTGCATTTCTTGTCCTTTTCCAACTTGTTAAGTATTTTTTTATGTAGTTTTTTCTTGTCTTATAAGTATTTTTTGCTTATAAATGTTTTTTTTGTAGTTTTTCTTGCTTATAAGTATTTTCAAATATATTAACTTTAAAACAAAATCATGATGTTTAATGCAAACTACATTTACAACAAAAGAAAATTACCATTTAATGCAAACAAATTTTACCAAAAGAAAACAACCATTGCATGCAACTTTTTAAGTTTTTTCTTGTCTTATAATTGTTTTTTTTTTCTTATAAGTGTTTCTTTTTTGTAATTTTTCTTACTCATAAGTATTTACAAATGTATTAACTTTAAAACAAAATCACAATGCTTAATGGAAACTACATTTGCAACAAAGGAACATTACCGCTTGCAAACAAATTTTACAAAAAATAAAACAATCATTGCATGCAAACTACAACTACCATTACTATTAGGGGTGTCAAACTACAACTACAATTCATCTGTTGCTTATGAAGCTTCGCTTTTCTTTATCTTCCTTGTGGTTTTCTCAATTTCTGGATCAGAATCAAGCATGGTACATGTGCGTAAAAATATTTGTAAGAAACGATTAGTAATATTGGGTCCCAACAACAACACCAATTTATTAGGTGCATTAAACTTACAAATATTAAAGTTCTCTACTTGGTTGCATTAAAGGGTAGGACATGAAAAGCATGACCGATTCCATATGGACACATCCTAAAAGTTAATATCTTTTATGTCAAGCATAATCACTAGTCCAAATAGAAAATGAATGGGTTTGGATTATAAAACTTAAAATAATAAATACATAAAAAGTTAAGGTGTATAAAATAAACTTAAGAAAACTCAAAATATAAAAACGAGTTCAATTCTGCGATTACTCTCCTAATCCTACATATAATCGACAACTTGATTATTTAAAATGTGTTCCATCCTAACATGTACTAAAAATCAATAACAATCTCAAACAATATTCTTCTATCAACTTATTTAACTAAAAGAAACTCTTTGAGCTAAACCTACGTTTTTGCTAACTTGAGCAAATAACTCTTATTTAAATAAGAAAAAACAACATTAAGATGTGTGTAAAATTCATATAGTATAGTTCAATACTTCTCATACGATTAAAAGTGTAAAACATGTTAAAAGTAGTATATACCAGAAATACCATCGCAGAACCAATCTTATACTTGTTATTTATTAGCAGTTAATTAAAACAATTACGGATTCCAACAACTGTTTAACTGGAATGATTAAACCCTAAATCAGATTATCCGACAAAACGAATTCAAATCAAACTTTTATTAAGAATAAAACTGATAAACCTAGATATAATCACAAGTTAAAAACCAGGCTAACGAGTAAATGCAAAATAAGTCGAATCTTTGTGAAACTGAAATCTAGGGGTTTTAGTCAGAAATGGATAAGAATGAATAAAATATTAAATATGAAATCTAAATAGTAAATATAAATAAACTAAACTAATTTATCGATGCGTAGTCTTCGAATCTTCATAAATCGTCAGGAAACATTTTGGCAACATTTTGCAACATCAGAAAATGTCAGAAATTCATCTAAAAACCTTTTGAAAAATGTGTGCGTCGTCAGATCAGGACACGAAGTCTTACATGATCGTTGAATGAGAAAAAAAAACAAGCGTTCTGAGTCGATTTAGTGAAGTAGTTGTTGTTTCAGGAAGTTAGGAGAAAAACATGATCGTGTAACTCAAAAACATTATCGTGTATAATGTTATGTGATCGTGGTTCTCTAAAAGTGGTTTAAGGGTCACCAAAATGTTATGGGATAAAATATTATCATGTAAATTCTTCGCAGTTGTTTCAGCGTGGAAATTTTGGTCAAGAATGTATTCGGGAAGTTACATGATTACGCGTTCAAAAAACACATTCATATAAATACAAGTACGTGCAATTCAAAACACATTTCATCAGTTTTAGATGTTTCTTTCCAACTGTCAGCTTCCTCAAGTGTTTCATCTTCAGTTACGATCTAATTATGTTTCAAGCTGCATCCAAATACATGCAAAATAATGTATAACCCAATTCTGTAATTTCCAGGTGATAATAAAAAATAAGAATCAAGGCTTTTAGTAAAAACCTTAAGAGATGTGTGAATTTGATGGGTGCGACGCGAAGTACACACATGGCATGCCATGCCCAAGTGTTATGTGCGACTGATATATGCTAAATTATATAGGTTTTATAGACAATTTATGAGTATTTATATATTTAAAATAGGACAAAATGTACTTAATGCACTTATATTTATATTTTTTAGGTAAAAAGTCCATGTTGAAAAAGAATGAAAAAGGATTAAATTGAGCTAAATTGATGAGTTGGAGAAAAACAGGAAAAGACTTGATAAATTATAAATTTGCTGATGGACCCATGTGTAGTGTTTACACCATTTATTTTGATTCGTAAATCTAATGGATAGAGTTAAATATCCTCTGGAAACTAGACAAAATTTCCTACAACTAATGCGTGACAGCCTTTTTGCTAATTCGTCTTGTATTTGGTGCAAAATCGCGTTTAACATTGGTGCAATAAAGTTGAAGACTCTAAAGATATTTTCTAGATTTAAATCTCGCCACGAAACAGATAGCTATATATAGAACCCCAAATTCATCTAACATATGTATTTATTAAGTATGGTAATTTTCAGAAACCCTAAAGGGGTAGAAAACATCGAAGGGGCCGTTTTGAGAGTCTAGAAGGCTATATCAGCCAGCAGACAAATATAGATGCATAAATCTAAAGATCAAGTGAAGAAATCAATAGTTTGTCAAACTTTTTACTTTTCGGTCTATAATTAGTCAATTATTTAATGTCTTACATATTTATTGTTGAAATTTGGGATTAAACTCTTCATGATTATTTGTTATTTGAGAAAACCTAATTTGCTTCAATGATTTATATTTGCTATTGAGAGTTATTCAATTTATTGCGTTAATGCTTAATTAATGATCCATGAGTATTGATAATGATTTTTTTATGTTTATGTAAATGAGTGCATGATTGATGATTAGGTTCAGATTGTGTATCTTGAATCACATTGTTTATTAACTTGTCCAAGCTGGAAAACTGAGTCAAGAGCGTATGCATTTGTGACTAGTGGAGTGATAACCTAGGTTAAACATAATAGAATTGAAATTAATATTTTTGATAGATCCAATAACTTGGAAATCTTGAGAAGTTGTCACTAATCTTGGGACTGATCATACCAATTGGTTTATTACATAATATAAACAAATAGACTGAGTATATGGGAGCTATCCTTACTGATAG